ATCGGATCAGCAGACAAGGTGTGGGGGGAACTAAAAAATGGCGGAAAATTGGAAGCACTGAACGTTAGATATCTATAGAACGAAGACACTTCCTTTTTTGCGGACCCGTGTCCGAATAACATTTTTTCCGGACTCGAGTCCGAATAACATTTTTTCCGGACTCGAGTCCGAATATGAAAAAATGTTATTCAGACTCCCATTTGGAAAACGGTGGTCTTGTGGTTCCGTTTGTTAGAGCTGGATCCTGCTCGCCAAATCTGAGAGTGTCGGTTCACGATTCAATCAGCTTCAATGAATCGCGAGTACGCGAGCGCTCGTGGAACAAGTCTCGGGCTCGTTGTATCTTGTGTGAAAAGGAATAGTGTTATATGAAGGCCACTTCGCGAGTCCCACTCTTGTTGTCCCGACCTCAATTAGCGACCCCCATAAATCCCCCCCCCCCCCCCCCCCCCACCACACACACACACACACACCCATTCAACGCCTTTGCAGTCTTAACCGCAGTCGGGGAATCTTTTACAAAACTATCACGTGTCGTCACATTATCGGTCCAAAGTGACCCCCACCCCAAAGGGAGGTCAATAGAATATCAAGGCAATGAGATGACTGCGTCCCTTCCTCCCTTTGCAAAGGTTCATGTAAACGCACGCTCCGCATAAACACACGCTAAGGAGCCCTCCCGAGTACCGTGCGTTTAGGCGGAGACTACTGTATCTACTAGTGAGAAATGAATCTTGTCATTAAAAAATGTTTGGTGTCTTTGCTTATGATGTTCACTCCATATCTCTTTTTCACGCTACAGATCTTACTAAACATTGACAATGAGGAGGTGACGGTGTCCTTAGCTCTGACAAAGACTAGTCTACACAACCGAAATCTCGTGGCTTTTGGGCCGACTACTCTTCGAGCAACCATTTGCTACAATATGCTCAGGTAGGATTAATTGGCAAAGAAAAATACAAGACTACTTTATAGTATATATCTGTACAAGAAGATTTAGATTTATTTTACTGTCACATGCGTAATGAAGGAAATATAATATAATAGCAGTTAACAGTTGCACACCAATAGGCATTGTATAAGCAGTCTAAATCTATTAAAAAGAAAAGATCTGTTTTACTGAATCTTTGCTTAGTGATGATCCAGACAAGCATCTATTTTGCTGGCTGAACTACAGTCTGGAACAGATAGCACAAACACGAAAAACTCAGAAGTCATGGATTACTCATACCATTTGCCATTCCCTGACTGCTATTATTAGTGATATCTCCTTAATTTTTCTTTATTGGTCAATCCAAATTAGGGATGTGTTGAACACATTTCTTGATCCCTGATGTGATTGAGTTCTGATCCATGCAAAGCGGTATGTCATTTTATGGTGGAATAGTACGGGTTTTTTGTTTTTGTCATTGCAGTTTCTGACCCATTTATGTTTCTGACCAGGTTGTGCCGTATCAAGAATGGTGACTTTATTTGTGACCCGATGTGCGGCACTTCAGCCATTCCCATTGAAAGTGCTGTGAACTGGGTCAACTGCTACCATTTTGGCGGGGATTTCCATGAGAAGGCCATAGAGAGGACGATCACGAACATCAGTGCAATTCAGGAAAAACTCCAGGCTGAGGACAAGTGAGTCAAGACACTTTCGTTTCCTCTTTGTTTGCTTTAGAGGAAAAGTAATTTCTTAGAAAAGCTGTGGGAACAAATATGTATATGTTTACAAAGAAACATTGTGGAAAAGTTCAAATCGAGTGCAAATGGCAAATGAAAAAAAATTTACATGTTTCAAAAGTTTTAACTCGGCCAAAAATTTAGATTATAAGCTTAGCTTTGGCAAATGAGTTTCGTGCCTTTTCCCACAGTAATAGCACCTCTACATGATGAATCAGACAAAGGTTAGTTTCAGTTTCACATGGCTTTTATTCAAGTACCGTAATTCAAGATCTTGAACATCTCAAGTTCTGTTTGCCTCTGAAGAAAATAATATGTCCACAATTTTATTTTTACAGTTAGGGGTCGAGTTGTTGGACAAATAAAAACTGTGCTTTTGCCCTTAAACAAGAAAGATATCTGTAGTTACGGGGATGTGCTGAAACTGGACATTTTGGAGTATGGTCTTGCTTTACTATTCCTTGATGACAAGGGACTAACGAAACATCAAAATGAGAAAGACTAAACGCTCGGAAGATAGCCCTAATTTATTTTCCAGGTCTCTGTCAATGCACCCACCCACCCACCCACCATCCCTGTCATTTCATTTACCTGCAGTATTCTTTAGATGAATGAATATTTTCCCATTTTCATTTCTGTTGGACTTTTGAAATTGAAGAAGAAAATTCTTCTTTATTCTTTTAAAATCAGAAATGTTGCGGGTAGCCGTACAACTTATAGTGTTCAATCTGTGTTAAGTACAGTTTTACATGTTTTGTTTTTTTCTTACTCCCACTTTTCAGGGGAACATTGAAGATTGATGCTGTGCAGTGGAACATCCAGCACTTTCCTCTGAGAGATAAATGTGTCGATGTGTTTGTTTCTGATCTGGTAAGTTCATCATGGAGGCAGAGATCAAGGTTTTTGAGTCAAGTGTTACCTTTAGAAAGATTTTTCTCTGCCAAGACATTGTTTGCTGATCATGCACCAATGTATATTTTTTTGTTGCTGTCTAATTGTTGAGGGTGGTTGATGGGGGTGTTCTGCTGTGGTTTGCTCTTTCTTTCCTATCAAACGTCAGTTTTCTTTTTCTCGCCCTCTTTTTTGTGTTTGTCACTCCCTTGTAACACCTCTAATCTTCAGCACTAATGTTACTTTTTGTGTTGCAAGTGCAGTAAAACTAAAGCTAGTCGTTCTTGAATACTATGTGAGATGTGATGAAGAATCTTCTTCTTCTTCCTCGTTCTCGGATGAAGATTCAAAAGGATTGGGTTTTTGGGAAATATGAAGTTCCAAGCTGTTCAGTTAGCTTGGTGTCATGACACATGTTTGGACAAGTTATACTTCGTACCTTTGGTTCAATAGTGTGCATTGTGGGTGTTGAGTTCAAAGAGTCCTTTATTAATTATACATGTATTTCTGAATCTTTGCCATTTTTTATGCTACTTAACTTTGTTTCAGTTTCAGCATAATTATATTGTTCTTCGTATTTTTTTTCCAGCCCTTTGGACATAGGTAAGAATTTATGTTGTCAGTTGATAAAATGTAATGACTAAAATTAAAATTACCATAGAAAAATGATAAATTAGTGTTAATGGTTGTACAATTTAATTGTGCTTTTTAAATTCTATTAATAGAATTTGAATGAGATGGCGTGAACAGAGGTCTGACTTATTGAAACAGAGCGAATTGTGTATTTCATGAATACATTCAAACCTGCCTTAGTTAAAACCTGTCCAAGACGTAATTTCCCTGCTCTCCCTTTGATAAATTCCTCTACAATTATTGTCAGTTACCTCTATAAAACTGAAACCTGCTCATTCCAGAAAAGGAAGGAGAAAAAATTCCTTTTTTTTCATCTGATTTTGACCTGTCCAAGGCACAAAATGTTTTGCAGCCTCAACCCTGGTTCGAAACAAAACTTCCAAGATTAGTTCCATCGTCTCAAATCGTTTTTCCACACTGCCAGTTTGGGGGTACCTGATGCATACCTCATCCATGTGAGTCATGAGCAGTGCAGACAGTCAAGATGGTGTGCATGTGAAATCTCACCATCGCTTGCTGACTGGACAGTGACCTGTTATCCCACCACACACAAGCTGGCTCTGTGGACACCCCCCTCCCTCCCCCCCACGCACACACACACCTCGAAGTTCCCATGTCCAAGACGATAAATAATGTGTAATGTGTTTAAGACATAATTTTTTTCTGACTCCCTTACAATTCCATCTTGGACAGGTTTGACTGTACGGTACATTATTATTATTCAGTAAAGTAGCAATTTACTTTGCAAGTTGTACTTTTTTTTTTGGGGGGGGGGGGTTCATTTAGAACTGTTGCCTAATGCTCAGACTGGTTCAAAGTAACATTTGCTCTTTTCCCAATCTGTGCCTCAGGATGGGATCTCGCACTGTGAACCGCACTCTGTATCCGTGCCTGTTGTCAGAAATGGCACGCACTGCACGCTCCGGGGCCAGGGCTTGTCTACTCACAGAGGACAAGACCAGTCTCATCAAGGTACACTGTGTGACAGACATTTATTGTCCTGACAAGAATTCCATGAAAGCCATCCTTTTTTTGTACTGGTGTCTTTCTTATAAATGTTCCCACTTAAAGTACACTGGCTTACACTGGTAATGTTGTAGGTGAAACTTTATTAAATGTTGAATGCAAATCTAAATAAAGTGGAAAGTTTGTAAACAAGATGTACATTTTTATACCATGAACAGAGTTGAAGCCTCTATTCTAAGCAATAATTGTTCCTACTCTGAGAAGTGAGCATAAGTAATTTATATAAGTAATAAATGAAACTGAAAGTCCACCCCCAGGGGAAATTTTTCAGCAGTATGGCCACGTCTTTCACTTTCAGTTTGTTCATTTATTACTGATCATTGAAATACTCATGCTCCTTAGTCTGCAGTTGTTTTTTTTCTAAAGATGTCAAGTATTGTGTTGTTTGTTTGTTGTTGTTTTGTTTTTTTGCGGGGGGGGGGGGGTGTCCAGGTCATAGAGGCTTTGGTTGAATGGGATTTTCTGAATGATAAATTGTCTGTAGTGTGTGTTGGGATTTTTTCAAAGCTGCAAGTTCTTTGTATTTTATCCAAAATGATAGAATTTTTTGCCGAACACCATCACGGAACCTACTCATAGAGTCTGTATTGTTTATCCCATGAATGTGGTTCCACAGGCCATTCAAGCAACGGGCAGGTATTGGCAGCGAAGGCTAATCCTCAGCATCAACATCGGAGGTTTGTCCGGGTTTGTCTTTCTTCTGACCCGCACGGCTGCTGCAATGGCACCTGCTGCTTCTGCCTGGAGACCAGGCACAGAGGATGGCTCAGCCATTGCGGAACAAAACGATTTGCCAGCTCAAGACGCCCACGATCAAGTCAATGGTGCCTCAACCCAAGGAGAGGTTGTTGATGTTGCAGCAACAGAAGGAGAAAAGGGTTCAGGTGCTAGCGCTGAGGCTGAGACATCCATGTAAATGTCAGGGAGACAGCAGAGTGTTTGTGGATAGTTTTCAGACAACCAGAAATTGTTCAGTTAGTTGTTCACTTTCTGTTGCTATTAACTTGATTGGTAAATTAGTGTGTTGATCCTTCATGTTGGGGGTTTGGGTTTTGTTTTGTTTTGGGGGTTTTTTTTGTTATTTATTTATTTTTTGTTTTTTGTTTGGTGTTCTATCCAAAGTAATCTTTGTGAATTTTGCTTTTGACAAAGTACTGTACATTCTTTCTCATTTGTATTTTGCTTTTATGATATTAATTGGCTCTTTAGTTGCCCAGTGTTTCTCCTGTTATCAACTTCGCGGATGATATTTTGAGGTCATGCCACTACGAGATGTGCTTTAGTGAAGTCTATTACTATTAGCACCATAAGTTAAAGTTACCAGCCTTTTGCTTAAAAGGTCAGGACTTCAGTTCCTGACTGCGCTGAATTATATGTTGTATCTCTGGAAAAGGTTATTAACCAAAAATGTTGGCATTGCACCCTTTTGCAAATTCAACAACATCTGTTGGGTGGTACAACCAGCAACTGACAGGTGTCCAATGGAGAAGATATCTTGTGTTCTTCTATGCATTATATTATGAGTATGAGAATAGTGATAAGATGCAGCTCTGTGAGATTTTTGTCCCCAGAACAGAGTCCTGACACTTTACTCTATAGCTTCCAGTTTCATTTGTTCTGATTGGAATACAGTGGAATCCTGTTATAACAAGAGGGAGGGGACCGGTGCAAAATGTCCATTATAGCAGGATTCTCGCTATAAGAGATCCAGTAATAAATTCAAGGGAAACTGTAAAGTAGGCCTAATCTATGAGTTTGACGTTCTGTTTATTTCTTTTTGCTATCTCCCCTGATGATAATTTTGTTTCAACATGACCTCTAGGTCTTACTTGATCAAACATCAAATCAGGTTTCTTTCTCTTGCGCTAGCAGTGTTGACTGACAGCTCGGGGTTGGCGATCAGAAAGAAAGGGTTCTGGGCTAACTCGCCCGCTGTGTTTCCCCCACCCCACCACACCCTGTGGTGCATTACTGTCCGCTTGGACATGTCACACATTCGCTCCATCCATCACATTTCTGTGACCTCTCCATCCCCGCATCGGAGAAGTGAGAGGCATGGCAGGCCTTGATAATCTAAACTAGGCTTACGCTGGCCTATCACGCGATGCGTTCTGCTTGTCTGCGCATGCCACACCCTCCTCACTCAGTCGCTCTGGCCTTCATTGTTGACACACATGGGCTCTCCCATTCTTTGTTTCGCTAGATCACCAAAAAGTTTCTCAACTTGCGAGGTTTTACATTGTATAATTGGCCTATGCACTGTGCACAGCAGCAGCAATAGTCCGCTATAACCAACCCGCATGTTTGTCTGATTGCGCTATAGCAGTATTTTATTTACAAAGGTAAAGGAGAGAAAAAAAACGGGGTTTTAGAAAAGTGTCTTTATAACAGATCTCGTTGTTTCTGGACTCGTTATAAGTGGACTCCACTGTATTTTGTTCTTCCTCTAAGATAAAAAGAATCATTGTTTTTGTCAGAAAACTCCCAGTATTGTTAGTTTGTGTTTACTGTTCATTTTATGCTTCTGTGCTAAAGCCTGTGGTGCTATTTTTCCTTCTCTTTTGTTTTTTTGTGGTCTAACAGAGGTCTCTGTGTTATAGAAAAGTTTTTGTTACTGTCATTACTACAGTGTGAATGCTGGTTGGTTGGAGCAGAAAAAGACCAAAGTTTTTGTTTATTTAGGTGTGGGTTTTCTTATTTTTGCTTCTTTTTTTTTCTCTTTTGTTCCTTGCTGACTTGAATGACCGCAACATACCTTGACCATGGTCGGTATGTTGTGAACATTATGGGTACGTACAAGAGTGCTCAATATCACTGATAGTAGTGTCCCTATGGTTTTATTGAGCTTTCATTTTGTTGATGAAAAATTTACAGCAAATAAAATATTGCCTTTGCATGTTTGTGTTACGTGCACTTCATTGTAATTTTGATATGGTTCAAAGTGGTTTGTAATTCTTGTTTTAATCTGCATTATGACTAAATGTGGTCTCATGCAGAAAGAGACTTGCCATTTGGAAACCTGACACCTTAAAAAAAAAAGCAAAATTCCTCACCACTACACCTGATTCTTTTTCTGCTTCTTCCAAGACAATAGTCTATAAAGTTCAAACCAGAGTAAAACTGAATAATTCCAGTGGTGTCTGCCTGAACACAATGCCTGCAATGGCACACACACATGGACTACCTGTCCCTGTGGTTTTATGCATCCCGCATAATTTAGTAAAATGTCTTTTTTTTTGCATAATTTCTGACTATTTTCCTTTGTCATTCTTTGTTAAAATTAACAGAATCGCATAATTTCACATTTTTGGGCCTAGTTTGCATAATTTCAGAATTTTTCTTGCTTAAAGGATGGGGACAGGACTACAGAGTCAAAAGTAGCAGAACAAGCATAGTATATCAGTCACTTTTATTGCATTTCTCACACAATCATACAAAGACGTCCCCTGCTATTATTATTATTTTCTGTCTCCATGTTGCTGAAGCAGGTCTCTGTCTCGGTATCTGAATAACTACTTCTACTTTTCAATCGACAGAGCTAGACTGACTGAGACTGAGACCTATTTCAACATGGTATATTTCTCTAAACATTAATAATGATATGTTTTTTCTGTTGGCATAAATCATAGCGAGGATTCGAACCTACGACTTCATGGCTGAGACTGAGAGCCTACCCACTACTAAGCCACCGACATTTTACCTGATGTAAATAAAGACAATACTTTATATTTTTCTGTAGGCATAAATCATAGCGAGGTGGTCCATAAATGATTATTTACCCACATTTACTTTAACTCCAGCAGGTGAGTGATTGATGGGTGCTCTGGTGTAATTTGCTCCTTCTTTCCTACCAAACATCTATCGTCCTTTTTTGTCCTCCCTTTTTGATTTATTATATATACAGACAAAGATTGTTGTACCGTTAGCTCTGCTTACCGCTAGGTTTTGCCAATGTGTGAAAAGGAGCACCTATAAAACCATAGTATTTACCCCTTCACACTGCCCTCCGCCAACTGTCTGAGTTGTACAGTCTTTATTTAACTATTATTACAAACTTGCTCCGCCATACCGCCAGTGAACTGACAGCCAGAGATACAAATTACACATAGCGCACAACACCCACTGGTTGGCTTCTTGATACTATTTCTCCCTCGATAAAGAGAGAGAGAGAGAAGACTTGGCTCTGAATGTACGTGCATGTACATGTATATCACCAACAAAAAGACTTTTCAAACACAAATCACACAGAAGAATCATGCCCCTTGACGTTTGGCAGTCGGGGCTTTATAAAGCCGTAACAGTAACATAGAAGCCTCGTTGAACTGCCAAATTAATAATAATAAATAGCATCTGTATAGAGTAGAGCGCATATCCCCGCTCGACAGCAAGCTCTGCGCTTTGCACTATATTATTACCCCAGCAGACCACAGAACACTCAGAAACATTCTCAGCTTCCCGAGAAGCATACAGTTCAAGCATGATCTGATTCTGATTAAGTGCTCAAGCACTAACAAACTGACAAGATCTTTCACTTTCATTATCTATAGCTGGGTGCCCCATTCCCACCTGGGTGAAGTGAGGAAAATTTGTGTAAAGTGCCTTTCCCAAGGACACAACGTCGAGCCCCTGACAGGATTCGAACCTACGACTTTATGGCTGAGACTGAGAGCCTACCCACTACTAAGCCACCGACATTTTATCTGATGTAAATAAAGACAACACTTTATATTTGAAAAGAAGTAGAAGGGGTGTGCTGCACTGGAACCACTTCATGCTGGTCCCAAGGGTGGCTGTATAATTATTTATTGATATAATTATAATGAGGTTTGACTGTGTGTTACTCTCTAGTAACACTTCTGATCTTTGGCACACTTATGTGACCTATTTGTGTTGCTAGGTCTGTAAAACTCTTACTCTTACTAAAACTCCAGCCTCCAGCAAATTGAAGTCCGTGTTCTTAGAGAGTACTCTGATATTCCTAAACCAAATGAAAATATTGAAAAGCATGAAATAGCCTCAGCATCACTCTGTCTTGCGTTGCAGCAATGGTGTCTGTTGTTCTTGCTGCTCCTAGTCCTAGCCATGTTGTCATCTTGTCCAGTATCTTGTCCCTCTGTCTGCCTCTCTTTCCATCAAACTTGCCTGTTACAATATTCTCCAATGCTTCTTTCCGCTTTGTGTGTCCGAAGAAATTTGTCTGTCGCTTTCATATATATACATACCGGTTATCAATATAATCCTCTACCACTCCCTAAAAAAACCCCCAACTAAATAAATCCTAAACTCCCTTGCCCACAAAATGTCACTCCATTAAAGAAGGAACCATTTACTGTTTCTGCATTTGAGACTGTTACAGCATAGAATCTTTAAAAAAATGAGAGCGAGTGAGCAAACACTGCTTTCAAACTGTTCTTAAACCACTTAAGTGAGTTAGATCTGTTAGTTTTAAGGCTCCAGGGTTGCACGCTCCTTCAACTTCTTTTCAAATAAATGTCTTTGTTCACATCCAGGCAAAACGTCTCTGCTATCATAATAATGATTTACCAGCATCTGTGATGTAGTGGTAAGGTGCTTTGCTGTTGCATGCAGGAGACCCAAATTTGATTACCGGGTGAGGAGAAAATTTTTAGAGTATCTTGGTTTTTCTACTGGGATGTATCCCTATCAGTATCAGCCCGGGGGTCGGAAACCTGCCTGCTAAATGATCTAAATCGTGTAGATTAGGGTGTAAAACCACTTACATTAAAAAAAAAATAGTAGTAACAGTAAAGATTTGATGCCCATCAACTTTGTCTAGAAAATAGTACATGTGATGTACATGTAGAATTCAAGAAAATGAAACAAATATGATGCAAAAAATATTTTTATTTCAAGTTTACTCCATGAGACATTGTTAGAGATTTATTTTCTCCACCATTCAACATGATACATTTTTGTACACTTTTTACATGAACAACAGCATATTTACAGTACAATCCTTATCCTACGATCATATTATCAAAGATGAGATTGTAGACTGAACTCACCAAGTCCCTGCAACACCCACCGGTAGTGGTACAAGCGGAAGAAAAAAGTAAAGTACCGGCATATAACTTCAAGAAAAATTTTCACCAACAAAATCAAAAAGCCGATACAGCATACAAGAGATTGAAAGATTTTTGTCAGCAAGCCTAGAAAGATGACAATTTGCAAGAGTACATGTTTGATTTTGAGCAAAATCTACCGTCCCCAAGTGTGACTGCAAGGAATACGTTTTATGCTAGAGGTCTGTGGACATACAACTAGGGAGTACACGATTGCAAAACACAGGATAGTATGCACACTGGGTGTGACACTGAAGCTCAGCTCGTTCAGTATTTTGATAAGGAGCTGTCTCTTGCTGTGTTGTTGATCTGCTTGGCAGTAGAGAAGTCAATCAAGCAACAATCTGATGTCAGCAGTGAGTGAAGTATTGAAAGAGAGGGGACATCAGTGGAGCCAAGTCAGCCAAGTGGGGAGTGTTCTGCACATCTAAAGAACAAAAGTGGACTAGACTCCGAAGATGATGCCCATCATATAGAAAATCAAGCATCTCAAATGAAAAAAGCTGAAAGTGAAGTGAAGAAAATGATTTAATCATTCAAGACATTCTTGAATCCGTTTGACCCACCTGGAACTGACAAGTTAGTCCCTTTGTCATCTGGATTACAAGCAACTGTTGATATTGAAA